GTGGGTCATGTACTTGTATCATGGGGTTCCAATTTGTGTCAAGCCTTAGTGCTTTCATTATCAGTATTGGAAGCTCTTTTCGGAATGACTAATAGGGCATACGGTCAAGTTTGATATCTAGTACTTCAGATAAACAATCAACCTCGATATCTAGTAGTTCAGGTAAAGAACCCACCTCGATATCTAGTACTTCAGGTAAACAACCAACCTCGGTAACTAGTACTTCAGATAAACAACCAACCTCGAAATCTAGCACTTCAGGAAAACAACCCACCTCGACATCTAGTACTTCAGGTAAATAACTCACCTCGATATATAGTACTTCAGGTACACATCAAACATCGATATCTAGTACCTCAGGTAAATAACCAATCTCGACATCTAGTACTTCAGATAAAAAACCAACCACGATATCTAGTACTTCAGGTAAACAATTAATCTCGATAACTAGTACCTCAGGTTAAACAACCAACCTTTATATCTAATACTTAAGATAAACAACCAACCTCGATATCTAGTACTTTAGGTAAACAGCCAACCTCGATATCTAGTAGTTCAGGTAAACAATCAACCTCGATATCTAGTAGTTCAGGTAAACAACTCACCCCGATATCTAGTACTTCAGATAAACAACCGACCTCGATATCTAGTACTTCAGGTAAACAACCAACCTCGATATCTAGTACTTCAGGAAAACAATCCACCTCGATATCTAGTAGTTCAGGTAAACAATCAACCTCGATATCTAGTAGTTCAGGTAAACAACTCACCTCGATAACTAGTACTTCAGATAAACAACCAACCTCGATATCTAGTACTTCAGATAAACAACCCACCTCGACATCTAGTACTTAAGATAAACAACCCGCTTCGACATCTATCACTTCAAATAAACAACCAACATCGATATCTAGTATTGTAGGTACACAATCCACTTCGGCATCTAGTACTTCAGATAAACAATCAACCTCGATATCTATCACTTCAGGTAAACAATCAACTTCGATATCTAGCACTTCAGGTAAACAATCAACCTCGATATCTAGAACTTCAGGTACACAATCAACCTCGTTATCTCGCACTTCAGGTAANAAAATTGAATAGCATTGCAACTTTTGCTGAAGTTCTGAACAAACATTTGAAATAATTAATGCTGAAAGTGAAGCACCTTGCAGTATGCATCTTACCTCGCTTAATAATACACACACTGGAATACGTTGC